ATGAAAAGCTAAAAAATAAAGTATTTAGGAGATGGTGGGACTATTTTTTGTCTATAAACAGAAACTTCAAAATCTCAAATCTTAAATAACACATTTACAGTGATCAAGTATTCGATTAAAAATATACCAAATTATGAGAAACGATACAATATTCTGTTATCAGTTAAATAATTAAATTCTGTTGATTCTTTCATGAAAATGTGTCACCAGAGATAAAATTTACTAAAATAAATAATATTAAAAATTTAGTGCACAATTGCAGAAGAACACAAATTTCAATAGGTGCATGGAGGTGGGAGAAAAGGTGAGAGATACGATGGTGTGTGAATGGGGAAAAGGGAAGTATTGAGCAGAAAAAAAGAAGCGAAGCGTGAAATCGACAGAACAGTTTTCTACTGATCACTTTAGTTACCAAATCAAATGTGTACTATTAATTTATTGCAAAATTATAAACATTCATATTTTTCTCAAATTATTACATGTCACAATTAGATAGATTAGAGAAAAAATAGAACTCGCAAATTAATGAACAAGTTTTCTAAATGTCCGCACAAAAAAAACGTGTCTGCAGGCAGTCATGGTCAAGAGCTTCTAAGGCCAGTCATTTGCGAAGTCTTGGAAGCATGTCAGCACTTTCTCGGATATTTGCAAAGAGCTCTTTCGGGTGGTTTTGATCATAATTTGGGTAGGAGCTGTAACAGATGAGTGGTAATTTGACACTTGAAATTGCTGGAATGGGCAGGAAATAGAAAAATTCAAAACAGTTTTCAGTGAACTTTACTCTGGGCTGACATGGAAGCCAAACATGAGCAAACAACTCCTGGTGTCTCTTCAATTTAGCAACTTCATGTGAAACAGAGAGAAGACTGGTTCAATAAACACAACCAGAAAACACTAAAAATTCAAATTATTGAAGTACTTATTACAAAACATTCAACATTTAGAAGTAAAAAACACAGGCATGTTGATGTAAGGCAAAGGAAAATGAAAACAAATTTGAGATATCAAGGAAATTGAATGATCTAGGTCCCATAATAAGGTAGAATGCAAAAAGATCTTACAAAATAATGTTTTCTTCTATCAATTACATTTCAGGATTTTTTTTAAATATACAAACATGAATAAGCCAATTACAAAGCTCTAAGCAATAAAATACTGGATGATATTTCTTTTATTCTGAGATCCAACCAGTTTGTAAATAAATTAATATGATCATGATTTGTAAGACAAAATGTATAACTCTCCGATGTCATTCAAACCACCCCCTGGCAAAACTTTTAAAGACCTGAAAATTATGTAAGCATTGTCAAGATTAACTAGTCTAAGATATTAAAAGCCCAATGTCTCTAAGAGAAATTTTGTTGATTTACCTTAAAATCATTAAAAGTAACCATGTTGCAACCATACCAGATACTAGGATATTGTTGAACAGACAGTAATGATGGATGCAAACACTAACCTGCTTCATCTATTCCATTTGTCCCTTTGATGAAGCCTATATATGAATGGGCGAAATGAATTTAATTCTGTATTTGTTGATTTCAGCTGTCCACCACAGACAACCATAATTTTCATGTCATCTCTAAGGCATATGATCACTGGGAATAGGGAAGAGTTAATTAAATGATGAAAATCTCAAGGAAAAAAAAAGTGCAGCAGGAATAATCACTATAGTAAGTGTAGAAAGACCTTTTTGTTTCTGGGAGCAACTTTGAAATTTCAAAATATTCTTAAACAATTAAGATCACTCATGTTGCACATTTTAATGATTCTAATACTAATATTAAAGCTATAACAAGTAACTCCACATAGGAAATGAACTACCTCAGTACAACAGCTACACAAGTCAAAAATCTACGGATTCCCCCTTCCATTTTTTTACAATGACAAAGAATTGTTTGAAACAAAAGGGAAAGAATTGTTTGAAACAAATTTACAAAAAAGGTCACAAGAGAAAGTGTAATACACACAATGAGATGCAGGCTTCTTCATTAGAGAAATTTTATATTTAAACAAAATAATAAAAAGGGTACTACTTAATTAAATTTTTGCTTAACAAGATTTCTAAAAACTTGTGAGAAAATTGTCAACTTCTATCAGAGACATTGACAATTCTGAAATTTTAATTTTTGTGAGTATGTACTTGGAAATTTATTTAAAGTAAGATTGAACATACTGAAAAACCCTGCTTTTATGTTCCCTGAATTTTTGTTTTCCTGCCATTTATGCTAATTTTTGCCGGTCCCTTCAATTCTCCAATGTAAAGTTGTTCCTGCTTTACACTATCAAAATTAAAATTTCCAGCCTTCCTTTTATACTTTTTCCTGCTCAATTCTCCAGCGCGAAGAACAATACAATGGCTCATGATCTTGCATGTTTGCTCTCACTAAGCCCCAAAAATACTTGACTACTTGTGTTCTGGGAAAGACAAAATTTCTTAATGTTGTCCTGGTCTAGGTGTTATTACTTTAAATTCCATTTTATAAATAATGGAAAAGTATTGTGTTGTAGGCTGCAAACGTTTTAGTAGTAATTCACATATTGCCAATGCATCACTGGTAGAAAGTGATGAATGTAAATGTGCATTTCACTTCCAATATCACTATTGTGTCCCTGATTCTGCAAAGACTAGCCCTATTTTTTTTTGCTACTTTAACGAATGATTATCTCGAAGAAACAATTGCAGATAGTGAGCGCCATTATTTCTGTGTTTTTTTTCTTTCCTTCACAAGCGTTGGTAGTGCAGTAACTACTATATTTACTTTCTTTCTAGATACTGTAATATGTTCAATTTTGTCCAATGATTTTTCACAAAAGGTTAATATTATTCATAAATGTAGAGAATGTATGTTCTGTATTTCAGTATATAAACAAAAATAATTTCCCACCACTTACACAATATTATCTCAAAACATTGAAAAGTGTAAAACGGAGGTTTTACAGCACTTACAAAAATTGAAAATTAAATTTTAGAATTATTTTGACCACAATAAGTATATCATTGTTTAACTTTACTTTTCTCCCATTTTCAAATTATTGACATTAAGAGTATTATTGACATCATACCATTTATTGCAATTAGATGTGTTCAGAAAATTAATTGTATAATTAGAAGAAAGCTATAATTCACAGAACAAACTGCATCTCTAGTCCAACAATACATAAAAGAAATTACTCTATACACAGTCAAGATTAAATCAATGCATAAAAGTCATTTAAAAATACTATCAATATTTTGTTGATATACATGAAATCTAGTAAGTATTGTGATGATTTTAAAATTATAATGGCAATGAAAATTAATGATATTTTGAAAATTATCAATTTACCTTCAATACAATTTTTCTATTTTTGTTTAAATTGACTAAACAAATCTTTTCTTCCAGTTTATAATAACCTGTGATATGAAATATGTATATAATATGACAATGAATCTGGGCCTAGAACCCATGAGGAAAATACAGTATTAATTATATAGTAACAATAAACAAACCAACACACATCGTCATCTTTAAGGTTTCATTTATGACTATTCTTCTTTAAATAATATTCAAATCTCTGAGTTAAAAGAGTTGAATTAATTCTACACATTACAAGTTACACGACAGCTAATTCGATAAGTTCACTTAATGAATAGCATTCAATACTACCTAGTGTCTCTTCAAATATCCTCAAAACTTTTGAGTCTATGCACAGCTACAAATATTTATTAAAAAAGGTTTGAGAATAAGGCCTAGAGTGACAACATAATTCATGCATTTTCAATATTACTGTTCTAGCACTTTACACTTCTGTAATTATTGTTAAAACCATAAACATTCCAACAACTATTTTCGTATCACAAACTTCGCTGGAAATCAAACCCTACATCCCTAATAGTGCATAAAAGACTAAAGGATATACGCCATATACTTTAATAAGACCTGTATTGACCAAATATTGATAATTTTTTTAATCAATAATTTCAAAATTACTGAACAGGCCCTTCATCTTTGTCACACTCAGTAGTGTTAACTGAGTTACAACAGGAAATATGACTGATGGGAATTCAAAACAACTTAAAACACAGAATATAATTAATAACAAAAGGAATCTTGAACCAAAATGGAGCAAAAAAGCATGAACACACGTGTGTGCAGTGAAGATACAAGATAACACACAAATCTCCAGAAGACATCAAAACACAGGACAGGAAAGTCCCTGATATAAATATATTAACAATGATAATTCCTGAAGATAAATGGAAAAGACTCACTGCACAATCTACTAACAAACATTCCAAAAAGTATTTCCACAAACTAACATTCATTTATCCTTTTTAAAAAAAAATTGTAACTGATTAGTCTCCAAATGAATCAGGGGCAATTAGAAGACAATGGTATATGTTTTACTTAGCCTTAAAATCTTATGAATAATTCACCCCTTGTTAATGAAGTCATTCACAAACAATTCCTACACAATCAATAACTGCAGTAAATAAAGAGATGATTTCATGAAAATTCCACACAAATCTCACATAAAAGTAATTCAATTAACCATAGGTTGAAAGTAGTAAATAATTCATTGAATTGAAAACCTCCACAAGAGCATACAACACACATAACACTGAAATGAAAAAAAAAAAGAAAAAAAAATGAAAGTCAAAGCGACTTTTCAGTTAATATAATTATAATATAATTGTTATTTCTTACATAAGAAAGATTTGGCAGATAAATTTTAATTAACATAAGATCAATAAACAACCCTAAATGCTGAGTGTAGTGCAAGAAATGTATGGATTAAGGCATCATTGCTGTGAAAGACCAAAGGAACCAGGAGGGCAGCCGAGCTTCATAGATGCAATTCATTATCAACAAACTATGCAAATATTACATACGCTGATGAACTAGCAATGGATAGAATACACAAAAACAGTCCATCTCAAGCAAATCCAATCTTCCAAGGGCCAGTGGGTGGGTGCGTGATCCAGATAATAAAAAGTAGCACAAAACAATACTTACCTCTCACAAGATGACAACAACGAACAACATGAGTATGAGGATGATCAATGGCAACGTCAAAACCCAATGTCTGGAGAAGTACATTCTCATTGAAAACCAAATCCTGAGCCTGTTCAAGATAAGCCTGCAAAAATAAAAAAGTTATTAAATAAAATTGTACAAATGACTAAATGATAGAAAAAGTAACAATTTACCCACAATTTAATAACATCACTGTAACAGAAACAAAAAGGAATATTTTTTCCATTACAAACAGCTCTCTCTGAACAAGTAATAGTTATGTTCAAATAATTGAAATGATATTGCAGAATACACAAACTAAAAACCCTATCCAAATGTAAAAAATGGAGACAAAATATCAAAATAAAATTCTCCATTATTTAGTAATAACTTCCTTACTTTTTCCAACAAATATAAAATATGAAACTTTTATCTTTTAATAAGCAGTTATCTTGTGATAAATTATAAATACCAACACTCTTGCAATGTGCAATTTCTCAGAAACATTTTCAACATAAAACCTTATTACAGCCCAGAAATATCATTAAAAATAATTCATTTGATTACAAATGTCCTTGTATTGTAAGATTCTTTACCTTGAAAAAAAATTACATGTGAAAATTAGAAAACATTACTTAACCATTCTGTACCAGACATTCCACTGTAAAAATCTAAAATTTGCACTTCATTATTTTAAAACAGTTACATATTTTGTCGTCATGGTATTAAATCGTTGGCACCAGTACTTATAAAACAAATTATGTACTATTGGATAAGAGGTTTTGACTTCTGTAATAACAAATTTGTTCACTGAGCCAATATTAAAATAGAAAATCTAGTTAAGGACATTTTCTTCCATCAATAATAAGCACACTTTGATCAAAGCAAAATCTGATCAAGAAATGAAACTCATTTAGCTGAACTGTATAAACACTGAACAATATAATGAGCAATGTTCTTGGAACCAACAAAATGGAACGTTCCGATTATTTTAATGAAATGTGCTAATACAAAAACATACTTCAGATTTGGTATCCAAAGGTGGTTGATCTCGATGTAGACACACATGTGCTACCTTGATAACATGTTCCAACTTTCTTGGCTGCTCTTCAACTTTTGCAGCTAAAAACAATGAAGCAGCCGCCATTGCATTTCGATGGAACTGAGTAAACGAGTGAAACACATAGAAACGATGCATGTACACAATTGCAGTGTTGATGCAGAGCTGGGTACTGAAAGATCTTGGTCAAGGAAAATAAACTTTTCAGAACATACAAAATATATTATAAATTATCTACACAATCTCTGGCTCGAATCCACCACCAGATAACACAACTACATACATGCACGCAAGAATATGTCAACCATGCAGCTCCTCTAATTTAATTGATGTAGGATTCTTTAACAACTAGTACAAAGCTAATTGAAATCATGCAATACAACATTCGTTACAAAAAAATGGCTCCTACGTTGTCCATTGCTTTACTACCAACAATTTAACGACATTCAAGAAACTAACCCAGATACTGTCTTTGAACATTTCAACGATCAAGTTTTCACAATGGAATAAATGCAATACAAATTGCTCAAATTTACTAAACTCGTTCCTTTACTTCCCTAAAACCTACCCATTTTACAATGGGAACATATACTTGTCCTTTTTGTATCTTCAAGATGCTCCCTTAACATTCACAAATTAACCTTTCATAATTACTTGTTCAGCGTATTAAGAGCAAATGCTTGACCCACATTTTTCTCAAGAAGCTCTTGCATCTGAACTTAGTAAATACACAACTACTTGCGAATTACATAAGAACCCACATAAGATTTCTTCAATTCAATTTCTCAACATTTCATCTTATTCACAGAAACCCTGCCCTTTATACAATACCAAACATTTATTGCAAATAAACCCCCACATGAAAGCTTAGTTAAAAATCAATTAACCTTTGAAATGCCTAATTTGCTAAAATCAAGCACTTTCTAAAGTCTCAAAACAAACCTGTTTTCTGTTAATTGGTCTATTTAAAATAAAATAAAACATTGTATGCAAGCGAGCTACAGGAAATACAAGTCTTGTGAAAATCAAGACCTAGCTTTAAGATGCAGTGTTTTCAATCAGTTTACACGAAATTTAGAATAAGCACAACGTGTTACAAACGAAAGGGAAACATATGGTTAGGGTTTCTTTGGTCTGGTTGAGAAAACAAAGTGAAATTTCAAAGGAGACAGAAACTATTAACAAATATTTTTATTCATGAACAGTTTACAAGGAAACACCAAAATATATTGTCTAGATTACATGAAATACAAAATTGTGCTTTCTATTAAATTTTCATTACTTTCTTGGCTACCCATATCTCTACGTTATATCACATGAGTACATACCAAACGCTCAACATCTCAAAACTAGGTGATTTGACCATTTCTCTCATTTTCCCATTATTTACAATTATGCAGACAGACTCATTAATAAGCCTTATTGATCATGGCATAAAAATTTATAATTTTCACATTAATTTCATGTAATACGTCAATTTATTCACACGTTTTCATGCACAAACAATATGCATTACTTTGATTTATCATGCGACTCTCCACGTTGAAGACACTCATTAATAGCATTTATTTCCCAAGTTATTATACTTTCTAGCTCGGAAAAGGGTGTAATATCAATGTCAGAACAGGTGTAAAACAAAATTTATTTTATTTCAATTAATAATTTGTACATCTGAAACAAATCGTCAGGTATTAAAATGCTTCACTAAAACCCCAAAATTTATATTTACTAGGATTCAAGAAACAGCAATGTACTACAGATGTTACTCAAGTCAATTCTATGGACTAATAATTAATCTCCTGGCCATCATCACATGCTCTTGCATCATCCCAGTTCAAAGTAAATGTTTTATGATGGCAATCAACATAAAAGGTAGAATACTTTTAACTGAAGATAATTTAAAAAAGCTACGAATTTTAGAAAATCCCAATACCATACACACACCCAAACAAGCCTCCCTCCTAGGCTTGCTATTCGTATAGCAAGAATTATCACCACCATCACCACCACCACCACCACCACCACCAATAACTCTATAAAAATATTATCTAACCACACTTTTTAACATTTTGTGCTCTTTCTCCCATTAAAAGGTTAGATTTTCATAACAAGAAAGATGATGCTGCACACTAGCCCTTACAAGTTTCACATTCATGGCTCCCCCATTCATGCACCAAAACAGAAGCACGTGGAAGAAAAGTAATAAAAAATAACTTCATCAGTTGCAGATTCTCCTACAGTCATGCTAATGAAAACGAATCTTCAGACAATTCAAATTAAGAACGAATACAGCGAATCAAAATACCATTTGGAGTAGCAAGCATATCCATACATTTTCATAATAATAAAACAGCACAAAATCCACTAAAAAATCATGTTATTTAGATAATATCTATTTAATTCCATATTAACAATTACTGTGTATACTTGGAAATATACTGAGCTCCATTAAGAAAATTTTAGTAAACGTAACCTCAACATGAAATATTGGTGTTTACATGCTTCTATGAATTCAGCACATCAAATCAGTAATTCCAATTCACATTAATGCAAATATTCCATCAAAACTCTTGTACTCAAGGTCAAATGCTGAACTCTGTTCACATTTCAACAATAGATAAATGAGACTAATGGCAGTTACCCCATAGATGTGCAGTTAACCAAACTTACCTAGGACCTTTTACACAAAACGCAAACTTGGAAAGTACGTGGATTAAATATTACTTGAGTGGAGTGCTTATTATTATTTACTGTTGTCACAAGTGATTACAATAACGAAATATCACATGATCAATATGGCGTGGCATCATGTTCGCGAAACCGCATGCGATGTGCGTTTAACTTGCAAATTTCTCGCATTACTTACGAACAGCTCGAGACACATACTCGTATGATCATTTCAGCACAGGTAGGTGATAGATCTAGAATGGGCAATGAATGAATTCCCGAATACCATGGTATGAAGATTCGTTTTCACAACAACACAACACAACACAACACAACACTCAGCACATTTCACGTAAGGATACACTAATAACCTCTGTCCCATATCTTGAATAAAGTTCGCACAATGTTGTCGATATGATAGTTCTTTTTCCACATCGTATCCACATCTTCTGCTTGGTGTATTTGCTAGCTGTTCTTTCGTAAAATACCACCTCTCGTCCGCCGCCATTTATTCCAGCATGAAGGACACACACACAACGCAGGACTCGAAGAGGAAGTTGGCACCAGCGCCTCTGATTGGCTGATCAACAGGAAATACATGGAACAAGAAGATTCCCACAACTTGTGCAATACGTTTTTACTTAAAATGCATGTTTGTTGATGAAGAAGACGTTCAGGCACAATAACATTAACTTCTCAAAGAGGTATTGGCATTAAAATTGTAACACAGTAAATTATATTCCCTAAATTGGCCTTAAACCCACAGACAATGGATTTTTGCCCCAAAAGTTGTTTGCTGAAAGCCACCAGAGGCGCTGGAATTCAAAGTTCGAGCTACCACTTTTCACTACGGGTAGCGTGTTTATATGGTTTTGAAATGGTGAAATATATTGAGGAGAATATATTTCATCACCTTGAAAGCTATATAAATAAACACAAAGTAAAACAAAACACAAATGCGCGTCAACCGTTAGCCGTCCACACCGAAACTAGGAAAAACAACCACCTTCACAATGGGAAAGCCTAAGTAGCAGTAATTTGCTATGTCAAAGCGTGCGACCCCTGGAGATCCTCTCTGAATTTTCCTAGCACGGGGTCATGCCATCCCTTATTCTTCATTTGTCTCATTGTTTTCGTTGTTGACTGCATGTCTCCAGTGACTTGTGCTCTTGTACAGTTTATAATATGTTTTGCCCGATCATATTCGTAGTTGCTACTACTTCCTTCCTTTAAGAAAGACACGGCCCATTACAAAAACGTAACGAAAGAAAGTACGATACCGCCAGAGGCACCATCATCACAAATTTCTTTTGCTCTATAAGTTAGAACCCGGTGAGTTTTATATACTAACTTTTACAATTGAAATCACTGTTAATACCAAAGGTGACCAGAGGTATATCCGTCTCGGTCTCAAAATAGTTATTAACATATCAAGGGTGTTATCGTATGTTGTTGCTCATCAGGGGACTCCCAACCACAAGGGCCTCTGACTCGAAAGTCGCCTGAAGAGCAAAACATCAAGTATTAATAACGTTCCTGGTGAATACAAAATTATTTCGCTAATTCGTTGCCGAATTACCTTATTAACGAATTTGAAATATCTTTAAATTCGACAGTTATCTATCGGAATAAGAGGCATCGTAACCGATTACAGCTTAACAATAATATTTGATATACTGGCATGCTTATGCGCTCCCTTACCACGGCGACCCCCCGACTCCCGACACGCGTGTATACTATTTTATACTTGTACAATGATCAACAAAAGCTAATTATTATAATTATTTACAAAAATGACTGGGAAGCAGAAGACTTCTTGAATAACAGACGAACAAACTGACAGGTCAGGTTCACTCAATGTTAAAAGGCGGGGGACTAAGTTTGTTTCCTCAGTCACGGGCCTGGTGCAGATAGCGCAGCTGTTGCGTTTTGGCGCGCATTTACAAAGTAGTGCCAATAAGTGCGTGTAAGTAATATCCAAGAGTATTATCTGCTTTACTTATGATTCGCATTATCTTGATTTAAATAATATTTTTAAATATTGTATTAGATGTTTTGACTTAAAACTAAAATTGTAAAGTGATTTATTTATCCTTAATTACTTTAAAGACAGAAAAAAAGTGAAAACATGAAGTTTTAAATTTATCATTACATTATTGTTTTTTTAGTTTTGTTTTTTTTTTCTTTCAAATAGATACTCTACATTTGAGGGGCCTGGTGCAATACCGCCTTAACCCACAAAATCGTTAAATTTGAGTCCTTTTAGTTTCATGCTCTTAAAACACTTCTCATGTGTTCACATTATTGAATAAGCTTGAGGCATCAAGTATGGTTCAGAAAAAAGGCATTCTTCATCCAAAAATATTTTACCATCTTTTCTGTAATATTACCTGAATCAAAAAACCTCTTACTGTTGAAAACAACCAATTTCATAAAAAAAAAGTACAACAATATTAGACAGTTTTTGAAATATTTAATTATATTTAATAGTTGTCCTGTTCCTTCCCACTTAAATGGTATTTTATCAGTATACACAAGGAAAAAGGGAGTATCAATAAAATTCCATTTTTATTAATGCTCATCTTCTCTAAGATGCTAGACTTTGTGGCATTAGCAAACATTTTACTCCAAATCTAGAATTACAAATACGCTTGAAGATTTAACGCATTTTCCTTGAAACTAGCTCGGTGTGTGTGTGTGTGTATTGTTCTTAAATTTGATATTATCTACAGACAATGAAATGCTGGATAAAAACTATTATATCATCCAGGTCCATTAGTAAATAACTACTACAAATTGTTTATTTCATAAGCATGCTCATTTTAATGTACATTACATTGTATTTTTTTTCTCAAAATTGTTCAATTATGTGAAAAGGCTTATAAGAAATGATATTCTTTGTATAAACTGTGTAATTGATTTAAGTTTTTAACAGTATAACTTCTTTTTTCAAATATTACCAATAATAAATATCATCTTAAATCATTGATTTTTTTTAAAATTATCATTTGATTTAAATCATGATTGCAATCATACCAGCCTTAATTTTTGGTGACATTTTTTAGCAATTAAAATTGTAATTTTGATACAATATCAATTATTGGTTCAGTGACTATTTTGGGTAAGTCTTTGAAAACTAAGGAAAATGAAACAAATGTATAAATTACACTACTTTTATGTTTGGCATGTCAAATCACCTTGTAGTTAGTAATAACATGCCAGTAAATATGCTTAGTGTTCTGGGATTAAAGAGGGAATTTGCACTGTTTACAAAAATAAAAAAATAAAATTTATGAAATGAAAAGTTGTGGAAGATACAACAATTTCAATTTGGTCTGTTTCTCCTAAGTTTTAGGCAATTTTAACTTTAAAATAAAACAAAAAATTGGCAGAGATTTCTTCTGCTTACGCTGCAATACAAGATTTTTCATTTTCTATAGCTATCTGATTGGTTACTACATATCAAGACAATATTTCCACAAAGTCCACACACAAACTAGTCACCTACAAATGGGCAGAACAATACTGAATTGTCATGGAAGACAGAATTTTGAGAGTATATTTAGAAAAATTGGAATAGATTTTTACTATAGCTATCAATAATATTACAGGATTTATTGTTCAAATGATTCATTTACCAATTGAAATTTGGCTACATTTAATTAAAAATCATCTAAAACATATTAACCTTTTGTAGCACTGAAGTATGAGAAATATCCAAAAAAGTATTATACCTATCTTACTATTTTTAAAATAAACTTTAGATATTTAGAGTATATTATTTATTACACATTCCAAAACAAAAGTTTTTTAATTGTTCACATTCAAAATTGGTTTGATTATTTATTAATAGATTTCCAGTGCTTGTTAGATAAGTTTTTTTTAAACAAGACAATTATTATTTGATATATATGTTGCTGTAATAATATATTTGTCTACAATATCATGGAGACTAGCAGCACTTGCAGCAACAAGGTAAAATAAGATTTCACTGGCACACTTTGTAATAACATTTTCTTGAAATGTTCTTTGAGAAGACAAGAGGGCTGAGCTTGTAGGAAACACTGTTGATACAATTCCATCTTCTAATGTTGAAGTCAAATTCTTTATATCTTGCCAGTTATCATACGGCAACTCTAATATCACCCCCAGAATGGAAACGTAACTCGTACACCTAAGCAAATTAAATTAATTACATTTTCATCATACACTAATGAGAGTGTACATATTACAGAAATGCAAAGAATAATGAATTATGTATATTTGAAAATGAGACATTTTGAATACCTGGGTATTGCAAACAATGGATATAGAATGGACATATTACAAAAATTGTCCAATACAATATGAAATAATATAATTACAATGCTGTTAAACAAATAGAACAGAATAAATGACAAGTACAGGTTAGGTTATACTACACGGATTTAAGGATTTTAAGACTATTTTGCATGGTGTGAATGCTTTTAAATGAAACAATCAATTACAATTATGCAACAAGATTCCAAAATGAATTATAAATACCTCCACTGCTGGTAGGGCGTAAATCCTAGCAATCTATTTGTCTACCACCAGTTTTCTTAATATCATCTTCCAAAATACCGAAAACAAGGTTTTAGACATGGCAAATAAATATCGCGACACAATTCACTCTACTTAAAAGGCATTACATTCTACATACTAACAAAATGACAAATTTCGATAAACAAGAGCACCTGCATACACTCAGCATGCACGTAACGAAAAACAAACACCGCCTACATTGTCCGCTTTTTGAATTACATGACGTCACACGTTTAGTTCGGCTCACTACGGACCAGTTGTAGATAATGCAAAATCATTGCCTCGTTTTGACCTCCAAGTTTCCCGTTCCTGGGGATAGGGGAGGAAGCCTCGACGTCAGCGAGGAGAAGGTAAGGGAGGAAGCAGCAGAGAGTATATATGCCCAAGGGCAGCGCTTACAACTCCTTAGGGTGGATTCGCTCCGTTACCGTCACAGGGAACGGACGCAAATAGGAAGAGCTCCGGCCGCAGCAAACAACAGTCCTTTTTAGGACTTGAGAGCAAACCGTAGCTGCCCTTCTAGGGCGACATAGACATGTCGACGCCCGCGTCGTCTCCCGCGCGGCTGTTTTTTACCCCTCACGGGTACGAGAGCAGCGAGCGTGGCAGAACCGCGGGTAGAGGCAAGGGAAGGGGAGCTAAGCGACGCTTAGGTTCCCCCTCTACAGAGCAAATCTGCGAAAATTCTTCTCCTGCTTCCAGAAGGAGAACAGAAGAAGGAGCGGCGCAGGCCACCTCGCCGCGCCACGAGCCGCCCGCTGTAGCCATGACGCCGCCGCCAGCCGACACCGCCGCCGCAGCTGCCAGCGCCGGAGATGAAGACGAAGACTGTTTCGAGATCGTCACTCGACGCCGCCGACGCCCACCCCCAATCTTTCTTTACGGGGTGGCGGACATCTTCGAGCTCCTCGAGGGCTTGAGGTCTGCCTGCGGTGACGCCGAAATCACCGCGGAGGTGGCGGGCGACGCTGTCAGGATCCGGTGCGAGTCCCTCGAGGCGCACTGGGATGCTCTCGCCGCCCTAGAGGAGAGAGCCGTGGAGTACCACACGTACTCCACGGGAAACGCGAGGGTGCTGAGGTATGTCCTGAGGGGCATACCTCTAGAACTCTCGCTGCAAGGGCTGCATGACAACCTTGCGAAAATTAATTTTCAGGTGACGAAGCTGGAGCGCCTGATAAGCCAGCGGCCGGGACGAAGGGGCAGACCACTTCCCCTCATCATAGCCACATTAGAAGACACGGAGCGCCACCGGGCGCTCCGTGAGGTAACAAACATTCGGGGGCTCCGCGTGCGCGTGATGTATCGCCCGCCGCGTGGGCCCACGCAGTGCCACAATTGCCTGGATTTCGGGCACTGGACGAACTGCAACCGGCCGCCACGCGCTGCCCAAAAAAAGTGCGGAGAACTGCACGACGAGCGCAATGCCCACGGGAAACCCCCCAGCGAAGAACGCAAATGGCGCCAACTGCGCAGGAGACCACCACGGCGCCCCAAAGACAATGGAGCCGCGAGTATAAGCGCCGCTGTTTCAGGGGAAGCAGCAAGGGCCCAGCAGCAGCGACAGAGCGGCTACCAGCGGGACCGCCAGGACGCGCCCGCATACAGAGAGAGGAAAAAGCGCCGACACGCAGTCGGGAGGCGTCGCGCTTCTCCCTCCCGGG